CGAGACTTTTATTTATGTTTTACCTATGCACGTAGTGTCGATACACTTGGTATCACGTTTTACGATTATGAAATTAAATTGTTACTGACAAGCAGCCAGTGATTCACAAAATCGTAATGATACGGACTGGAGTTTTATGACTCTCTGATCGCGGGTTCAATCCCTGCCCGTGGTTATTTTTTTTTTTTTAAGCAGCCAGTGGATTGTCACTGTTATCATCAGGAGAATCTTTATGTTACTTATACTCGATTTTTATTTCTCATTTCTTCTGTCAAACAAAATTCTAGCTACACACGGAAGTGTATCATCATTATGTTCACACACGGAAGTGTATCATCATTATGCTCACACACGGAAGTGTATCATCATTATGCTCACACACGGAAGTGTATCATCATTATGCTCACACACGGAAGTGTATCATCATTATGCTCACACACGGAAGTGTATCATCATTATACTCACAGACAAGAAGAGCTGAAGTGTATCATCATTATAAGCTCACACACTGGAATTACATATTAAGCTACTCACAATACGGGAAAGTGATCATCATTTCTCAAGACAAAAAGCTGAAGCTCACATGACCAATACAAGTTATCTAAGTAAAGATAAACAAATACTGAAACAAACTTACACTAATAACGAGCACTTAACTAGTCGCACAATAACGTGGGTGAAACACTGCACACAATACCCACTCTTCTGCTAAGAAAAATAACGCGACGTTTCACTTCGACCTAAAGAATCTAAGTAAAAAAATCAAGAAAAAAATCACAGCGTCTGAAACCCAATCTAACTTAACCTTCCCTAACTTAACCTAACTTACTAACCCAACCAAAAATTTTATATGGAACCGTTTTTATTTTTCATGTGGCTGTCAGGTATTTTCCGTGCTTGATCATTGGTAAGTCATAACTGGGAACGAGAAAGTAAAGAAGACCAGAAGTTAGGTTGGGAAGAGGGAAGGGAAAAGATGGTGATAGTAGTGGTTTTGGTGGTGGTGGTGGTGGTGTGTGTATGTGTAGGTTAGTGGTGGTGGTAGTGTGTAGTATTAGTAGTATAGATAGTGGTGGTGGTGATAGTTATAATAGTATTAACAGTGGTATAGTGGTGGTGGTGGTGGTGTGGTAGTAGTAGTAATGGTGGTGGTGGTGGTGATAGTTATAATAGTATTAACAGTGGTATAGTGGTGGTGGTGGGTTTGGTAGTGTGGTAGTAATGTGGTGTTGAGGCAGTGAATAGTTATATAGTATTACAAAGGATAGTGCTGTTTTTTCTCATAACGTGGAGGGTCATGTTAGAAGTATAACAGGATATGTGGAGGTCGATAGTTTCAGTAGTATGTTGTTCACCAGGATTTCTGGTATTACAAAGCAAAAGTAATATGTTCGCACCAGGAGGTCATTCCATGCTATATGAGACCTTGTATCATATCATATAGCTCATGTGGTCTCTTGTATACCAAGATAATGTCAGGCAGTTGTTCTTCCTGATATCCTGTATTAGTCAAGAGGTTGAACAATGTGGATTTTTTTATCCGAAACGTTGCAACACTTGGACTTTTTCAGTCGAATACTGAGAAGATAGCAGAAGCAGTGGAGATGATGTAATCAGTTCCTCTAACTTATAGCAGAAGGTTTGAGGTGATCAGTCCCTCAGCCTGGAGAGGTTCCTCACCAATATATAAAATTATTCGGAGAATTTTGCTGGTCGTGAGAGACCACCAGTCCTGCTAAAAACAATGTCACATTTTCACATAGGATTTGCGACACATTTTTAACGGGTTAAGTTACGAAGAATTAGACACATGTGCGATATCTGGGTATCTTTATTGCAGAGTTTCGCCTCCAGTGGCTTTATCAATACAAATTCAAGGACATGATGGGAAAACATCTCCACATATTGTCCTTGAATATGTATTGATAAAGCTACTGGAGGCGAAACCCTGAAATAAAAATACCCAGGTGTTGCACATGTATCTAATTCTTCATCTTGTCTGTACTGTGTACCATACATGTACAGGTTAAGTTGATTTAGAAAAACACGAAAGCAAACACTAGGACATATTTATTAGAAAACGTTTCGGTCCTAGGACCTTGATCACTTTTAACATACATAGGTTGAAAGATATTATATATAGGAGAGTGAGGTGTGAGTGATGCAAGGTGACCTGAAGAAAGCCATGTTGGGATGAGGACGGGTAGACAATGAGATGATGTGACTCCTGTGTTGCTGGGTAGGTGATGGTTTGCCTGTTTGAGTATCTTGTTTTAGAAATTCTATGGTTTCCAGTGTTACGGTCTACTGTGTCGGTGACGGCGATTAATGAGGCTTCAAGACACCGTCGGCGTTTAAGGTCTTGTTCGGTGAAACGAGTTGTGCCTCATCCCAGTTCATCAAATGCCCCGTGGAGTATCTGGAGGACACAGGCGTATTAAGTCGTCTCTGTTACTGGCATTTCGATGCTCGTTCAGGTGGACCGCAAGATCTCTGCCTGTTTCGCCTACATATTTCTTGGGACAGAATCCACAGGTATGGTGTTGACGCCTGCTGTAGAAGTTAGAGGTGTGGGGCTGCGTTTGTTAGTGAGGTCTTTGATAGATGATGTGTTTATGGTGGACACATTTATGTTACTCTTAGCAAGGGCCCAGTTAGTATTAGTGGCAACATCACCACAAGGGATCACTATGAACTGCTTAGAGGGCTGTTCCATGGGCGGCTTCTTGAAGATAACTTGTGCTATAATCTACAATCTCGGATGAAGAAGATGGAAACTGAAGACTTGTAAAAGCTTGTGTTATGTAAGAACATTTTTCTTCAAGGAAACAAGGGCTAGAGATGCGAAGAGCTCTCAAGAAGCCAATAAGGACTCATCTTTTAGTGCGGGTGTCTTGGTGTGAATAAAAGTGTATAAGAGTCCCTGTTGGTAGGTTTTCTACACACTTTGAAGGGAAGTGTATAGGCGAAACACACAGAGATCTTGCGGTCCGCCTGAACGAGCATCGAAAGCCAGTAACAGAGACGACTTAAGGTACGCCTGTGTCCTCCAGATACTCCATGGGGCATTTGATGAGCTGGGATGAGGCAGAACTCGTTCTCACCGAAGAAGACCTTAGACACCGACGGTGTCTAGAAGCCTCGCTAATCGCCATCACTGACACAATAGAACGTAACACTGGAAACCACAAAATTTCTAAAACATTAGCATATATGATACTCAACCAGACAAAGCAGCACCTACCCAGGAACACAGGAGTCACATGATCTCATCGTCTACCCGTCCTCATACCAACATGGCATTCTTCAGGTCTCCATGCGTCACTCCCACCTCACTCTCCTCCTCTATGTAATATCTTTCAACCTCTGCATGTTAGAAGTGATCAAGGTCCCAGGACCGAAACGTTTTCTAATAGTATATCCTAGTGTTTGCTTACGTGTCCTTCTAAACCAATTTGACGGTATTTATTACCAACGTTTATACCACAGATTAAGTTAGGTTAGGACAAGTCAGGTTGGGTTGGGTTGGTTTCCAGCGTAATACAATAAATATAAAGATAAACCACAGTGACAGAGACAGCCACTGCCCGAACATCACTTTGGTGGCGTTGAACATGGCAAGTGTTCTGTAAGTAGGCTGGATTTGTGAAGGACCTGTCCAGTATGGGCCAACAGGCCTGCTGCAGTGTTCCTCCATTCTTATGTTCTTATGTGTCGTGGGTACGGGAATAAATTCTTTGACAGCTTTGGGGGGGGTGGTTTGGTGGCCTGGATGTATTGGGGGGCCCGGGGTAGTGAGGGGTTTCCTATTATGGTTTTTTAAAAATTAAGTGGGGTCTAGGGATGTATGGTCCCTAGGGAATTTTAAAAAGGGGGGGGGACTAAAAATTATTGTTTTAGGTTTGGGGGGGTGGCCCCTAAAGTTATGGGGGGTTAGGGGAGTGTAGGGGTTGGTGTAGGGGGGTAGGGGGGTGAGGAATCTGGTTTTTTTAAGGGGGATGAGGGTTTGGTTCTTAAAATTTAGTGGGGTTGGGGAGTTTGGGGGTTGAAATTAAAATTTGGGGGGTTGATGGGGAATGAGGTGGGTCACGGGAGAGAATGGGTGGGCTTTAATTAAGTTGGGCAAGGGGAGGTGTGGTTGGTGCTGGGAGTTAGTGGTTTCCTTAATGTTTTTTGCTAAAAGATGTTTGGGTTGGGTTTCTAGGGAAAGTGGGGTCTGGGATTTTGGTTGGGCAATTAGGGGTTCCGGGGAGTGTATTTTTCTGGGAGTGAACCCCTTGTCCCTGGGGTGTTTTTGGTTGCAAGGAAATGGTTTCTGGGGGGAGGGGTGGTGCGGGGATGATAGGGGGTTCCCCCCTAATAGTTGGGTTCTGGGGATGAGGGGGTGGTTAGGGGTGTTTGTGGGGGAGCTGGGGGAGTGTAGGGGTTTGGTGCTAGGGGAGTGTAGTGGTTGGTGCTAGGGGAGTGTAGTGGTTGGTGCTAGGGGAGTGTAGTGGGTGGTGCTAGGGGAGTGTAGTGGGGGGGTGTAGGGGATGTAGTGGGGGGTTGTTGGGGGAGTGTAGTGGGTGGGGGCTGGGGGAGTGTAGGGGGTTGGTGAAAGGGAGTGTAGGGGGTGGTGCTAGGGGAGAGTAGGGGTTGGTGCTAGGGGAGTGTATGTTTGGTGTAGGGGGAGTGTAGTGGTTGGGCTAGGGGAGTTAGGGGTGGTCCCTGGGGAGTGTAGTGGGGGGTGCTAGGGGAGTGTAGGGTTGGTGCTAGGGGAGTTTTAGGGGGGGTTGCTAAGGGGAGTGTTTGGGGGCGGTTAGGGGGCCTAGGGAGTGTAGGGGTTGGTGTTAGGGGAGTGTAGGGGTTGGTGCTAGGGAGTGTAGTGGGTGGTGCTAGGGGAGTGTAGTGGGTGGTGCTAGGGGAGTGGTGTGGGGTGGGGGGCTAGGGGAGTGTGTGGGTGGTGCTAGGGGAGTGTAGTGGGTGGACTAGGGAGTGTAGTGGGTGGTGCAGGGGAGTGT